AATCTTACTGGTTAACGATCGACTAATGAGCTTCGTTTGACAGTCAGGAAAATAAAAATGAACAAAATGCTGTCATTGTACAATTCTCCACCATATTTACTATGCTGCGCGCAAGTTCAGGTAACTCAAAAACTTGCGTACACGAGCTGAGACCAGACGTGAGATTTGATCGTAGCCACCGTTCACGTCCATATTGATAAATTCCAAGTTTTGCGTTGAAACGACCGTACGCCCAATTTTCTGTCATACGCTCGTAAATGAGGCCCAATGTCTCCTGAAAGAAAGAGTTTATTCTAAACTAACTGCTGAGACAAGTCATCAGCAATCCCAGTTCCACTTATGAAACTTATCTGCAAAGATCCTTAACACATTTGCTTAATGGTCTTCATTGGCTTCCCGCAAACAATGTCTACATTGATCTGCCTTCAAAAACTTTAGTTTATGGTTTGTGTTGTGATGCTATTTTCTGCAGTGCGAAAGCAGATTTGCATTGTTTACGATTCAACAGGATAAGGATGTGAAGTGTCTGGTTAAAATACATTTTTACGATACCACAGCAATAGACCAATCACAACAGACTGAGCTATCTGACCAATCAGAGCAGAGTAGGCTTACTGAAAGGAGGTCTTTAGAGAGCCTAAATCTTTGAATGAATCATTTCAAACTATTTGAGAAACTAGGTGCGTGTAAACCTATTGTAGGAGACCTCCAAAACAAAATTAGGAACATTTTAAAAAAGCATAATATGGGCGCTTTAAATCAAAAATGGTTAAAAAATGAAACTGAAAATTAAAAAAACAAAAACAAAAAAGGGACTTAGGTGACCAGAAACATTTTTGGGCCACTGTATGTATCAGACCAAATTTTAAGGTGTGTTCACACTTGTAGTTCGGTTCATTTGGTTAATTTGGTCCGGACCAAAAAGGAAAATGATACATTTGGTCCTGGTCCGCTTAGCATTCACACTGGCATTTTTGACAGCGAACCTAAAGATTCCAAACCTAAAGGCGTAGAGATACATTCACAGCCTGATTGGTCGGGTTGAATGGTGTATATTTTGTGACGGTACTCACCGAACACTCCAAACAAAAGGAAAAGGTGCGATTGACTTAAAGCGGCGCTGCAGGTGTATGACATCAAAGTACCCATTCACTGATCGGTCTGCTCAGCGCCGCTTTAAGTCGAATACACTTAATGCCATCTGCTGGACTAAGCACGCTCATTGTTGCATGTATATCTTTTTTATTTTCTATGATTTTATGATTTTCACCACCTGCAAACTCACAAAGAGCTCATAAAAGGCGCTTTACCTCCTCGTTGCTCCATGTATGCCCTCTGCTCATTTTGTTTTGGATACACCGCTTGTTCCCTTTGTGAAATCATGTTGCATAGCATCGCATCTTGTCATTACTTCCTGTTTTTAGTTCGTTTACAAGTATTTGGTCCATGTTGCGTTCGTATTTCATTCAAACAGCACCAGAGTTCGTTTGGAACAAGTGGACCGAGACCGCTAAAAAGATGGATCTCGGTCCGCTTGTTTGGTGCGCACCAGGGTTCGGATAGCAGGGTTCACACTTACTCAAATGAACCGTACTAACAGAGCAATCTCACCAGAGTTCGTATTAATCGAACCAGACATGACATGTGTGAACACACCTTTAAAAGCAAATTGTACAAAGACTAAGATTGACTCATTCTTGTTTTCTCTCTCTTTCTCAGATGTCATTATTTCATGTCGTGTTCCTGCTGCTCACTGGGCCGGGTGCGAGTTTGTCTCAAGCTGAGCAGCCAACAGTCCCATTTGGCTGCAGATTTGGGATTCCAAGACCATACACTCTCTTATGTGACCTGGATGCTATGTGGGGGGTGGTGGTGGAGGTCGTAGCAGCGGCTGGTGTATTAGTTGCCATTTTACTGCTGATAGTGTTACTTTGTCGCCTGCACTCAGTGACTGAGGCACCAAAGCGAAGTGGCATCGGTCCGATTCTCTTACTGTTAATGGGCATTATTGGGCTGTTTGGGCTTAGCTTTGCATACCTTATTGAGCATAACGAGAGCATTTGTTTGGTGCGACGTGCCCTCTGGGGTTTGTTTTTCTCACTCTGCTTTGCTTGCATGTTAGCACAGGGCTTGAGGCTGCGCAGGCTTGCACGTGAGTCTCGTAGCCCAGGCGGGTGTGCCCTCATTGGACTAGTGCTAGGGTTAACAGCAGTACAAGGTATTATTGCTGCAGAGTGGCTTCTTCTAACAGTGCTGCGGGAGGGTAACCCGGCTTGCGAGTATCAGCAACTGGACTTTGCACTCGCTTGTGCCTATGTGGTTGCACTCCTGCTGTCTGCCCTAGTAACTGCAACATTAGCACTGTGTGGGAAGGCACGACAATGGCACTGTAATGTTGTGTGGCTTCTAGTCTCCTGCTTGCTGTCCATTCTCCTGTGGGTGGCTTGGGTTGGTTTCTACGTCTATGGAAACAAAGTACTTGGAAAGTCTCCGGACTGGGATGATCCAGCATTGGCTGTGGCCCTGATAGCGCAGGGTTGGTTGTTATTGCTGTGCCATGCTGCTCCTGAAGCCCATGCCTGTCTTCGAACACCAACTCAGCCTTCAGCTCCAGACTATTTTGACACATCTCAGAATTCATCACGCATGAGAGAGGCCAGCCTTGATGAGGACATCCCACTTTCACACAGGCAGTTTGTGGAGAACCAGGGATACGCGTTTGATGAAAATGCTGCAGGTACAACAAGGCACAAAGAATATATAATTTAATATACATTAAACAGATCCTAACATCCATCCTCTATTGTTGTAGGGTTGAGAAGTGGTAGCCATCATAACGGCAACACAGGAGTCAGACCCAGTGCACCCTTCAGAAGTAACGTCTACCAACCAACTGAGATGACCATGATACTAAATGGAGGAGCAGTGAGTACAAAACTTTATATTATTATAAATAGACCAAATAAACAAACCTGTAGAAACCTTATTCCTAGCTTATTACAACTGACAAGTTTGAGTAAAGTGATTGACTAACTAAAGCTTGAAACAAGCCTTGTCAAAACAGCATATTAAAGATTTCTGTTTTTCTGTCTATTGGGACTACAGATCAGGACTGAATAAATATGTCATAAATTAAAAGTTGATCTGTATATTGGTTTTATCATAAAAGATCAAAGCTGATAGTTTGTGATGAGTCAGGTTTAAGTAACAGTATAACCCTCTGGAGGGAAAAAACTATCATGGACTCCACATAGTTTGTTTTGATATGTGACTATACTTTGCACATAAATAATTTGGTTATAACTGCAGATTTGAAGAGCTACATGTTCATCATCAGTGCCTCAAATGAATGTGCCTGTGCCAACACTCGTCAGATCTTCCAGTCTCTTCTTCAGAAGGATGGTTTATATGTCCATGCTTTTTGAGAAGCTCTTGGCTTTTCATTCGATTATTTTGATACTGTGTTTCAGTGACTCACATTAAGTAGAGTTCGTCTTTGCTCAAGCTGGAACACAGTGGCTTTTTGTCAGTGTGTCATTCTGTGTCCTCAACACAGAAGTCCTTGGACATGCACAGTAAGTCTGTTATGGAGAGTGAGCAGACAGTTTCTCATGTTGTTCCTGGACTGAGTGCAGTCTGCTTCTAAGATGAAGTCGCATGTGGGAAGTTGTGTTCAAGTCTGGAAGCTTGCAATGCAATCACTTTTGACCTTTGTATGTTTCTGTTTACTGTCACATGCAACTGATTTGTTGTTTCGGGCCACGTGATAGGTCACTACACAGCTGATTCTGCTTCATCAAGTGCTGCTGTGTTTCAGATGTAAACAGTTAAACTTAGCATTTTTTATGGCTCAAACGACTATAATGTTGTGGTTATACCCAGGTCTGCCTCCATGATGAGCATTCTGCTTTGGGTGCAGAGCAAGTGTGTATTGCAGTAGGCGGTGCACATCTCAGGTTGTTTGAATCTGAAAACAGGAATACAACAGGAAAACAAAGTTCAGCTTCTCTTAGTAGCACCGTTTTGACTGTCCCTCATTTGATTTTCGAACCTGGTATCACTCCTGGAGGAGCTTCCTTGGGAGAAATCTGTATTCCACGGCTTAGGTTGGCTGACGTTAGGTGTCTCACTTAGGAGCCCCAATTGCCTCTGAGCACTACAAGAAATGGCCGACGACTATTGGCGAGTGGAATTTGCATGCCAAGCCACTCCCTGTACATACGGGTATACAAGAAGTTTGCATGCATCCACTCATTCAGGTTTGTGCTGAGGAGCTGAGAAAGCATCCTGGAATTCAGCGAAGTTCAGGGTTGTGGCATGAGGGACATAACATCTCTGTTCCCTCTTTCAGAGAATTAAAATTATATAACATATCCGTGCTGTTCCCTTTCAGTCAGTCACATTCAACATTACGTTGACACTGACATTAGGGGTTCCTATGGAGAGAGTGCCAAGACAGATGAACCTCAATCCGTAACTTGCCCACTTCCACCTAAGCCAGCTAATCAACCAACCATAAAGGCCTTACTAAGGAAGCCAAAATAATGGTGTTCCGATATACTCATAATATTTGTTTCAGCAATCGTTAGGGTAGGAGCACTGAGCCTGGCAAGAGACTCCTCTGAATGCCACCTGGTGCTGGAGGAACTCGACCAGGTTTCACCAGATGGGGAACTTACTGGAAGAAGATAAGGAGCATGCACTAGCTAGAGGAATGGCACTGCAAGCGAGACACTGAGCCAGTTCTCCTGCAAATTATCTGTTCATACTCGACACGCATGAGGAAACCAGTTCCACACAGAGATTATAGAATCTCGCGAAGATATTAGGTGTCACCCAGCCCACATCTCTGAAGATGTCTGCTAGAGAGGTGCCGTGCACCAACGCCCAGGAGGCAACACAAGTGGAGTGAGCGCTCACCCCCAGGGGGCATGGCTCGCCTTGTGTCTGGTACGCCAAGGCAATGGCATCCAGGGCAAAGCTCTGTTTGGAGACAGCTTTTCCCTTCTGCAGACCTCTAAAGCAGACAAAAAGCTAGTCAGAACATCTAAAGCTATGGGTGCGTTCCGCATAAATGCACAAAACATGAACAGGACACAGCAACACAAGGCCTGGATCTGCCTCCTCCAGAGGCAGCACTTGCAGGCTCACCACCTGGTTTCAAAAGGGAGTAGTGGAAAGTTTAGGCACATAACCAGACCGGGGTTTCAGGGTAACATTGTCCTCTCTGATCTTGCACAAAGTCTGTGCAAGGAGGCTCACTGGGGAAAAAGCATACTTGCACAAACCCTGGGGCCAGCTGTGTGCCAGTGCATCCAAGCTGAGGGGGGCCTTGGTCAGGGAGTAACAGCTGGCAGTGGGAGGACTCCTGGGAAACAAACAGGTCCACCTGGGCTTCCCCGAATCGACTCCAAATCAGCTGGACCGCTTGGGGATGGAGTCTCCATTCTCCGGGAAGGCTAAGCTGTCATGAGAGCGCATTGGCTGCACGATTGAGCTCCCCTGCAACATGAACGGCATGCAGCAATGCATGGCATGCAGCCACATCTGACTACAAAGGAGTAGATGGTGGACGAGTTGCGACATGCAATGAGAGCGTATCCCCGCTTGATTATTTGATATTACACAACCGTTGTTGTCCAAGCGGATGAGTACATGCTTGCCTTGCAACTGTGGACAGAACCAGTACTGCAAACAGTACTGCCAGCAGCTTGAGGCAATTGATATGCCACTGCAGTCGAGGTCCCATCCAGAAGCCTGAAGCTACGTGTGCCCCTTGCATATAGTGACCCAGCCCGTCCTGGAGGCATTTGTTGTTACAGTGTGCCTCAACACTTGCTCCCGGGGCACACCTGCCCTAAGAACACCAAGGTCTGACCACAGGCTAAAAAGGCAGTGACAAACCAGGGTAACACCCACCAGGTGTGTGCTGTGGCAATATGCCCATCTTGGGACTCAGTTGTACAGGCAGTGCTGAAGCATTCTCATATGTAACAATCTGTACATCTGCGGATTCCATATGCCCCAGAAGCCTCTGAAACATTTTTAGAGGAACCGCTGTTTTTCCCCTGAACGAATTCAGGCAGTTCAGCACTGACTGGGCACGCTTGTTTGTGAGATATGCTGTCATGATGACTGAGTCTAGCTCCATACTGAGAAAAGAAATGCTCTGCATAGGGGAGAGCTTGCTCTTTTCCCAGTTGACCCGAAGCCCCAACTGGCTGAGATGCTAAAGCACCATATCCCTGTGCTCGCACAACAGATCTCGCGAGTGAGCTAATATAAGCCAGTCGTTGAGATAGTTGAGGACTCAGATGCCCTTCCTCCATAGTGGAGATATCTTATGTGAAGGCGCAGGGAGACAGGGACAGCCCGAAGGGGAGGACCTTGTATCGATACGCTCAACCCTTGAAAGCAAACTGAAGAAACAAAAAACCGTGAAAGTATGCATCCTTCAGGTTGATTGCTGCAAACCAATCCTGGTGCTGATCTCATGCAAGAATGTTCTGTTTTCTGGGAGTCTGCATTGAGATGGACTTGACCTGGGGCAGGAACACCACTGAACTGGTGAAGAAAGCACAGCAGAGGGTCTACTTTCTGAGGGTTGTCAGAAAGAATAGTATTGCTCAGAGTCTGCTTGTATCCTTCTATCACTCTACTATTGAGAGTATTCTTACTTGGTGCAGCTGGGAAACCACACACAAAGGCAGCATGGCATATAAAAAAGAGCTTCAGAGGGTCATCAGGACTGCAGAAAAAAACATTGGGTGCCCTCTCACAACTTTGGAGGACCTTCACAGTTCCCGCTGTCTTAAGAGAGCTCACAGTATTATAAAGGACTCATCACACTTAGGTCACTCTTTATTCACTCTGTTACCATCAGGCAGACAAATAGACAATAGACAAAACAAAAAAAAGGACAAATAGATTCAAACACAGTTTTTATCCAATAGCTGTACAAGCTTTAAATGCCTCTGGACAAATGTGAAGTAAGGGATTTGTGTATTTAGTATTTGCACTTCTGTTTTTTACAGAATTTGTGCAATTTTGAATGTAAGTGGGTATGTGCATTTTTTTTGGAGTGAGAGACTGAAAGTGACTTTCGTTTGGACTGTTGGACATATGACAATAAAGGTATTAGTTCGTTCTGCATCAACATCTTGAATGGAAGCCTGTGAAGGGCGATTCAACACTCACAGATCCAGGATTGGTCATAACCCACTGCTCTTCTTGGGTACAATGAAATAAGGGCTGTAAAACCCTGACTTCATCCCGGCTGGAGGGACAGGCTCTATTGCATCCTTCGCCAAGAGGACTGCGATCTCTGCACGTTGCGATAGACACCTTATCCTCCTGAGGAGCCCCGAATGAACCACTGGGTCCTTCATGGGACGGACTGGCATCTTCGTCCAGGAGCTCAATGGTACTAAGCAGGACTTCTGTGAGGGCTGGCAAAGCGGAACCGGACTGGGTAGAATTCAAGGGGAGCCTCATAATAAATGAGAGCCGCAAACTCATCATATCCATGGACATGCGCTCACAGTGCGGACATGACCTATCCACAAAAGCCATCTCAGCATGCTTATGGCCCAGACATGTAAGAGAGCAATCGTGCCAGTCATCAGAAGTAAGGAATCTACCGCACCCAAAAGTACACGGTCGGAAAGATACCTTGAAAGACACGACCATGCAAGCTGTAGATGAAACTGCTATTTAGGCTGGAGTGCCCAGGGGTGTAACACAGCACTTATCTGTGCTATCACAGGGGTGAACACACCGCTGATCATGCCATCTGGAGACACAGCTGAGAAGATCCTGCAGACTGGTTTTCTTTGTTTTTTCTTGTAGTTCGTTTCTGGGAGAAAAGACGCCCACGAAGCAATCAGCTCTGGAGCAAAAATGGCACGCCATCATCTTATGTACCC